CTACCGCAGCAAAAGCCACACAGAAATCGGTGGCAGCCATGCTGAAAATGAACAAAGCACCAACAGAGAACCCAAAAAACACCACCATAACCCACCACGAGGACATCAAGTCCCCCTTGGAAGATGATGAGGAAGAAGAAGGGGTAAATCAACTCTGTTTGGAACAGGGCAGAAGAGACCAGAATGGAAAAAGGAAGGAATTTCGCTGTGCCGGTTGTGAGGTGAACCATCCACGTTCCGAGTGCCGTTTCCTAGATGCAATCTTGCAAACATTGTGATCGCTGGGGACATATTGCTAGGGCATGCCGAGCAAGGAAAAACTACGGCCCTAGACAAAGATGGAACAACCCCCCCACCCCCCACCCCTGAGAGAGGGAGAAACAAACAGGGAGCTGCTGGAACCAAGACAACAGAAACAGGTAAGGGAAAGAGACAAACAATGGAAGAGATGAAACACACCAAACGGTGACCATCGGACACTCCAACACGACAAACACCCAGAAGGTATATGTCCAGGTCACCATAGAAGGCCAGCCATGACAGATGGAAGTGGACTCAGGCTTATACTTATCAATGGTATCGTGGGACATCATAAAAAGACTGATACCAGACATAAGCCAGGAAGGACTTGAAAGACAAACACTAATGCTGAAAGACTACCAAGGAAACAAAATTCCTGTAGTAGGTACAGGACAATTCAAAGTAAAATTCAAAAATACATCAGAATCCTTCCACTAACCATAGTCAACCGAAATCAACCCAGCCTATTGGGGCTCGAATGGTTTGCACCATTAGGAATTGAAGTCACAGGGCTAAATAGCATCACAGAGGCAGAGTGGGAAGAGGACTTGATGGAAGAATTCCGGGACATGTTTGATGGAGAACTGGGCAAGTACAAGGGGTCCCCAATTTCTTTTAGTCTAAACCCAAACATAGCCCCTATAAGATTAAAAGCGAGGTGGGTTCCTTTCGCACTAAAACCAAAAATCGATGAGCAATTGGATAAACTCATTGCACAAGGGGTTTTAGAACCAATTGACCACGCAAAGTGGGAAAGCCCAATTGTGACACCAATTAAACCAGATGGGTCGGTATGCATCTGTGGGGACTACAAAGCAACCCTTAACCATATGCTCCAACAAAGCGCATACCCAGTTCCAGTGGTACAGCATCTATTACATTCCCTGCGGGGGGTGGAATCTTTGCAAAACTAGACCTCACACAGGCATACCAACAGTTGCCCATTGACCCTGAAACAGCAGAAGCCCCGACAATCATGACGCACAGGGGGGCATTCAAATGCAACAGACTACAATTCGGCATCAGCGTCACCCCAGGGGTGTTCCAGAGCTTAATGGATGCCTATTGCAAGGGATAAAAGGGGTGGTACCATACTTTGATGATGTCCTGGTATCAGCCAAGGACAAAGAACAACTACGAGACCGCCTAAGGGAAGTCCTAAGCAAATTCAAGGAGGCGGGACTAAAAGTAAGAAAAGATAAGTGCCAGTTAGCCGCCGGCAAAGTTGAATTCCTAAGATATCTGATAGACAGTGAAGAGATCCACCCCACAGAAAATAAAGTCAGAGCAATCAAAGAAGCCCCCAGACCCACAAATAAAACTGATCTGCAAGCTTTCTTAGGACTCATTAACTTTTACAATATATTCCTACCACAGAAAGCAACCATTGTGGAACCAATACACAGGTTGCTTGACAAGAAAGCAACCTGGGCCTGGGGGCGACGGGAAGAAACGGCATTCCAAGAAATAAAAAACTTAATCACATCAGACCACATATTAATACAATACAGAGAAACACTTCCAATAACACTAACCTGCGATGCATCACCTTTCAGCGTCGGCATGATACTCAGCCACGTATTACTAGATGGAAAAGAAGCACCCATAGCTTTCTATTCAAAATCTCTGTCAAAGCCAGAGAGGAACTACAGCGAATTAGACAAGGAGGCATTGGCTGCTGTCACCAGAATAAAACGTTTCCATGAATATATCTATGGGAGAACTTTCACACTAGTCACAGACCACAAGCCACTCCTGGGTATCATCGCAAAGCTACACTTAACATACTGTCACCATGAATAACATGGTGGTCGGAATTTTTGGCTGCCTATAACTACAATCTAACCTACCGACCTGGAAAGGACATAAATCATGCTGACGTGCTTAGCTGTTGCCCTCTACTTGACATAGAAGACAACCCAGCACCAACCACATCAACCCTTCAAATAGAGACATTAGAAAACCTACCCATAACGGCAGCAGACATCGCTAGGGAAACAGCTAAAGACAAAACCCTGGCACGAATTTTAAATTGGGTAGGAAAAGGATGGACAGAAACTGAGAGCGACAAAACCACCAAACAATTCCAGAATAGACAAACAGAACTCTCAATGCTGAAGGGGTGTGTACTATGGGGGGATCAGGTGGTCATACCGAATGTTTTAAGGAAACGCATACTAGAATTGTTACATGAGGGACACCCGGGTATTGTAAAAATGAAATCCCTAGCAAGCAGTTATGTATGGTGGCCAGGGATGGATAAGTAAATAGGGGACTGGGTGGCAATGTGTAAACGCTGCCAGGAATCTAGGCCAACACCCCCCACAGCACCAAAACACGAATGGGAAACACCAAAGGGACCATGGTCAAGACTACACATTGATTTTGCAGGCCCAACCAAAGGACACACATTTTTAATAGTTGTAGACGCTTACTCCAAACGGCTAGAAGTAAGCATTATGCACTCCACCACAACAGAAGTCATCATTAGACAGCTCAGGAAGCTTTTTGCAAGACATGGATTGCCAGATCTAATTGTATCCGACAACGGGCCACAATTCACGGCAACAACATTCAAGGGGTTTCTAGCACAACATGGGATAAGGCATGCACTGACAGCACCAGGACACCCAGCCACAAACGGATGGGCGAAGCGCATAGTACATTACACGAAGGAAACATTACAAAAGCTGGGGCCTGGGGACACACAAGAAAAGATAGATAATCTACTAAGCATTCAGCACATGACACCCAGTGCCACAACAAACAAAAGTCCAGCAGAGTTACTAATGGGGAGGAAACTAAGATCAAACCTAGACAGACTGGACCCCACATATAGCCCAAAAAACCCAGCAGATTCCTCTAGCAATTGCCACACATTTCAAACAGGGGACCCAGTATAAGCAAAATATTTCACAGGGGAACCATTGTGAATACCAGAAAAAGTGATCCAGATAACTGGGCCCTGTTCATACAGGGTAGACACCGAGGACGGGAGAAGCTGGAGGAGGCACATAGACCAGCTCAGATCTAGAGCCACGAAGGGAGACCCAAACAGACCCACAGAAGAGGGGGGAGTCCCCTTCAAACAAACAAAACACAACCAGAGAAGATGGGGAGACCCCTCAAACAGACAAAACACAAGTAGAAAGGGAGGGGGAAACCCTCCACAAACAAGAGAAATAACAGAACAAACCCTGACAACTATGCAACAACCAATACTAACACTAGCCCCAGTCGGGAAACGCAAACCTGAGACCGGGGAAGAAGGCAGGACGGGGAGACAGGAACAGGTCCAGAAGGATAGCGGGAAAACAATCCCTGGCGGGAGCAGCCAGGCCAACCCAACCAGCCAGGAAATTCCTGGCGGGAGCGGCATGGCCAACTCAACCTTCCAGGAGGTTCCAAGAAGATGGATGGGAGGAACAACAGACCCGTTTGAACAGTCCAGAGGCCAACCTGCGACTGAGTTGCGCAGGTCCAGTAGAAACCATAAAAGCCCCACCTACCTACGTGACTACGTACGGTAGGTGAGGCTCATATTGGTTGGACCGGACCAGGTGGGGAGGGGTGTTATGTATTAACATACTTACCTGAAATTGGTTGGTCCGTGGTGGTGGGAAATTTGAAGAGCCATCACTGGCCACAGCCGCGAGCAGCCCAACTATAAAAAGGCTGCCGCGGTTTCTCCGGCGCTCAGTCCTAGAAGGAAATAAAACAATTAACAGTCATGCTGGTGTCCTGAGTCTCATTCCCGTGACCTAATAGAGAGGGAGGAAGAAGTTAGAATCTGTCAAGATATAACTGTTTGGTTAAAAGGTTATATATTTAGTTTGGCAAAATTCTGTCCATTAGGTGTATTGTACTGCTTAAGAATTGGACTTTGCTGTGTTGTCTTTTAATTTGGGTCTGATTCAGATGCAGATCTAATCCAAGCTCCCAATATTTTAAAAAAGTAAAGAAATAAATCCTACATGGTGGAGAAAAATTATTGGATATTACAGGCTTTGCTTCCATGTTTGAGCACTATAGTCTTTGGCTGTTCTGGAGAATCATATAGTCAAGGTTGGGGAATTGTTTACAGCTTAAGATATAATTAATTATTCTAGTTGGTAAGGGCTTGATTCTTCAGATACAGAACCTACTGCCATTGAAAGTTGATTTTGCATTATTATAGCTCTGAATATTTTTATTTACTTTCTTTTCAGCCCTGGATCCCTGTAACTTCTTTCCATGTTCCCCATATGCTGTTTGTAAGACTGTTGACGAAACCAAATATCAGTGCATTTGTGCTGAGGGATACCAAGGGAATGGGAGAATATGCCAAGTCAGGCAACCATGTCTTGACAATAATGGAGGCTGTCCGATAAATACCACCATCTGTGTTACCCAGGGTACAGGAAAGGTAAATGGTGCCTTGCAGTGTACTTTGATTGTAGCAGTCATGTATAAAAGCAGACAGTTAGCAATAAGGCCAAGTTATTTGAGGGCTCTCCTATCTCCTATGGTTTTTGTCTAGAAGGCTCATGCCAACAGAAGGTGATGCATCTTGGTTTGTAATGGTTTTTATGTTATTATTTGAAGTGTTGGTTATTTCCTTTAAAGCCTTGCAAGGAGCCTAAAGCATTGTAACTAGTCTTCTTTCTATTTCCATAGCCATTTTGCCAATGTAAAGAAGGTATGAAAAGGTACGCAAATAATTGCGTACCCACCAATGAATGCTCAGTATATCATTGCGACAGCAGTGCACAAAGGTGTGAAATGACCCCTGATGGGTTTAGCAAGTAAGTATTTCAGAAGCCCAGCATGAATTCAATATAGAAGCTATTCTGGATCTCTGTTGTTTGCTATAATACTAAATTCATGTCTGATTTACATGTTTTCTGTGTATCTTAGTTGAGAGGCAGACAGGCAGGCAGGCAGGGAGGCAGACAGGCAGGTAGACAGACAGACAGACAGACAGAGATATATGAAGGACTAGTTCCCAGTGAAATATACTTCTTGATACATGCATTAATTTTCTGTTAAGTATTTTATCCAATTTTTCTCCTAAAAAGCTCAGATCAGACAGGTAGGTAGGTAGAATAATATCCAAAAATAGCAGGGGGTATTTTTTGAACACATATGTTTGTAGATCCAGCTATATATTGGTCATTCCGAAAACCTCTTTCTTGAATATTGATGGCAATATTTTAGACATGGGAATCCCCATTATAAAGTTACACAAATTATATGCTTGATACAATACGACAATAGCTACAAATACATCAACATTTTTTAAAAATTATATATTATTTATTAAAAGCAACAGGAGTATGGTATCTTCTTACTGGAAAACTGCTTATCCTCTATCAATGAAAATATATGAAACAAAACAAGTCTTAATTTCCAATATTAGAGGCCAATATTTGCAAGGCTGCCTGTAATCCTTGCGAAGGTGTTTTTCTGTTTTGGCCTTTCTATGATCATCATGTAGAGCAAAATTGTTCACCTGCATAGGAGTGGCTACTTTGTTCTAGCCTCATTGAGATCCACTAGGTTGCAAGAGAAGAATGGTACTTTTCCTTTGAATTCCTAGCTCAATTATGTCCTTCTCTAGTTGTGAGTCTCACTAGCATTGTCTTGGAAATGTTTTAAAAATCATATGCTTTCCTTGGAATTGTGTGCAAATCTGGTGATGGTTAGCCATCTTGTCCATTGAATCACCCTCCTTCTAACCTGAGTTTTTAGATACCAATTAAGCTCCACTCTGCTCTTCCAGGTTTTACAAAAATTACACCTGGCATAAAATAGACTTTTTCAAATGTTCAGTGATGGCATCTTTCCAAGCATGGAATGCCAATATTATTAACATCCCACGTTACAAATGTGGGTGTCAAAAAGAAAAGAAAGACTGGTTCACTTTGACCAATTCAGATATGAATTAGGGCAACCTTCCCCAATATGATACTCGTTAGATATGTTGGACTTCTACCTCTGCAATAATCAAACGAAAATGGGTTTGAAGTTTAACATGATCAGGATGGCACCATTGAGGAAGGTTGACACTGGCATATTTTTTTTTTTTAAAAAGTTTTTATATTTTACACAAACATAGACATAACATAAACATAAAACATAAAACCATCTTTCAGTTAGGTACAGTGTGTCGGTTGGTACAAATCTCTTTTGCATAATCTCTATAGTCTTTCCCTTCTAATTTAAATTGATCTTCATAATCAACTATATATATTTATATTATTATCGTTAATCACTTACTAGACTGTTACTAATATTCCATCATTTTATGCAAGCTAATCACCATTTTAACTTAACCTACTTTGTAACATACATTTCATCGTCACTAATCAATTCAATAGTAATATATCCTTACATTATTTTATTTCTAGAATTCTATTATACTGGCATTTTCTATGTCTTTTGTCACTACAGGTGGTCCTTGACTTATGACCACAATTGAGCCCCAAATTTGTATTGCTAAGCGAGACATTTGTTAAATGAGTTTCCCCCATTTTACGACCTTTCTTGCCACAGTTATTAAATGAATCACTGCAATTGTTAAGTTAGTAACACATTGCTAAGTCAGTCAGGCTTTCCCATTGACTGGGCTTCTCAGAAGGTTGCAGAAGGTGATCCCATGAACCTGGGACACTGTAGCCGTCACAAATAGGAACCAGTTGCCAAGCATCTTAATTTTGATCACATGACCATGGGAATGCTGCAGTAATAGTCATAAGTATGAGAAATAACTGTAAGTCAATTTTTTCAGTGCGGTTGTAACTTTGAACTGTCACTAAACGAATAGTTGTAAGTCAAGGACTACCTGTACATGCCCAGAATGATCTTGATATTATTGATATCATTTGCGACTGAGAATGTTGCTTCATTCTATTTCTTTTTAAACCACCCCTATATTAATTGAAGTGACATATACCTGGATATAAATATATCTGGATACCTGGATATAAATATTTGAATAAGTCTTTATTTTCTGGTTTTCCCCCTTACTAAAGTAAAACTGCAGGTGCTAGCCACCTGCAAGGCTGGCAAAGATGTTCAAAAACATGTCCACCAAGTGTTGGAAATGCAATCAGACATCAGGCACATATCATATGTGGTAGACATGCACAAAAGTGGGGGGGAAATGGATAAAAATACATACATGGATAGAAAAGATGTTAAAACAGCATCTAGATTATAAGCCAAAAATATTTTTGCTAGGCATAATACCAGAAAAATATGATAAAGGGACTATATACTTAATGTTGCATTTCCTGATAGTGGCAAGAATTGTATTTGCACAGCATTGGAAAAATGAGGAAATCCCCACAGAGGAAAGCGTAATCAAAAAAAATACTACATTGCGTAGAAAGGGATAGGTTGACATTAAAAATAAAGGATAAAGATGCAGAATATTTTTAATATGGGATTTGTTTTATCTATGACTAGAAAATAGAGATAGAAATTAGAAATTGGAAAAATATTATGTATAAGAGATAAACTCTGATAACACATTGTTCATGAAGCACATATGTTTGTATAAGAAAGGTGTATAAATAAAATATATTTTTAAAAAACTACAGCCGCTAAATAGTTGCTTAATTAATGTGAATTGGTTGCAAAACACTTAATAATGAGACAGTTGCCCAAACCACATCTTATATTACCCTCTTTTGTTCAGCTGCATCTGCCAAAAGGGAGAAATTGAAGTTGGACGTTCCTGTTACAAAACTATCCTGAGTGAAATCTTTAAGCAAAATAGAAGAAGCAGCTTTTTCAATAAATTGAATGATTCATCGACATTGTTCGGTAACTTTCTTTTCTGAATGAATTTAACTATACATAACTGCAATTGGGTAGAAAATCATTAAAATATTCTAATTGTTTCAGTTGATTTCTTTGAATACATATTTTTACTATAAATAGGAAGAATCCTACCATAGTCACAGCAGATGTGCTTACTTAAAAGGGCAGCAGCATTGATTAAATTAACTTGTTAATTGAGAAAAGAATTAAAAATGTCAAGTGCATGAAATTAGGAGCCAAGGTGTTCAAATGGATACAGGTTTATTGCAAGCTATCACTCTCTACAAGTAATCTGAACTACTAATGGGTTTAACCACTTGTTGGCATGAAGGAACTTCAGACTGATGACATATTTCACCCATCCTTCGGCTCAGCCTAGTCATCTGCTACAAAAATATAATCCAGGGCACACAGACCTTTAATTCAGATCAAGTATAAATTTCAAAACAAGGAAGAAGGTAATTCAGCTGGTTGTGTTAAATTGTCTCTCTTATTTGTAGCTAAACAGGAAAATATATTTGGATGCCATAGCTAGCTAACTTTTATTTATTTATTTTATTGACTTTAAAAAAAGGCCTTGATATTCAAGGATGTTGAAAACTTTTGGTGGTTTTTTCTTTCCTTTTGGGGTGGATGTAAATGCTAAAGATAACTCAATATTATATTAATAAACTAAATTCAAAAGAGATCCCAAATATACCTAAAATACTTTTCTAACCATGAATCACTAAACATAGTAGATGTATATATTAACATGGGAAATTAAGTATATGTTCCATCTTGCTTCCCTTTTGGTGGAAAATAGATAAGTACTTGCATATGTTTCCTGGTCTGGCAAGCAGCAGCTGGGTAGACCATGTAGATTGGGGAAATGTTGTAGGGTATTGAGGAAGAGTTAAATGTCTCCCTCAACCTCTCAGTAGGGGATAGAAACAGAAATGTAATGAAGATGTTGTCATAAAACCTTCAATCTGCACATCTAAGATATATAGCAAAAAGACATATATACCATTTTATAGTGCTTTACAACCCTCTCTAAGCGGTTTACAGAGTCAGCTTATTGCCCCCAACAATCTGTGTCTTCATTTTACCCACCTCGGAAGGATGGAAGGCTGAGCCAACCTTGAGCCTGGTGAGATTCGAACTGCCAAATTACAGGCAGCTGACAGTCAATACAAGTAGCCGGCAGTACTGCATTCTAAGCACCACACCACCATGGCTCATGTATATATTCTGTTAAGGAAAATGCTTCAGGTTGATTATTTATGATATTCAGGTTTTTTTAATGAATATGTGGTATGGAATCTTTTAACAGCTATGGGTTGTTCATTAACCCTGGAGAACTACGGGCCTTTCACAGTTCTTGTGCCTACTGGAGAAATCAATCCTCGATTTAACTTCAGTGTAAGTATTCTTCTCTCTTATTATTTATTACTTCTAGCATTTGTGTCTGAAGTAAGGCTACCACTGTCCTTCTTGAGCAATATTATCATTTGGTATTTTTACTCACTGGTTTGTTTTTCACAGAGAATTACAATGAAGGGGAAGGGAGAGGTAGAGCTATAATTATTTGCAGGATTTGCAAAGAAGGTGAAGTCTAGAAACCATGGTTTATCATAAGGCCACCAGCACTCTACACATTCTTAGTTTTAACAATAACCATCCACTCTCACACAAAAAGAGCTGTGTCAGAGCACTATATGGCAGAGTGAGAACCCACTGTAGCTCCCAGCAAGCTAAACAACTGGACAGAAGGTGCCACATGAACAATTCAAGCATAATGAGTACCTACAAGCATTTATTACAAGATGCCTGCACAAAATGCAAAGGAGAGAAAAGAAAGAAGATAAAAGACCAACTATGTGGCACACTCTGCCATACCTCAAAAACATTTCGGAAGCAGTAGAATGCAGCTTCTGAGATCAGCAAGTGGGCATCACACACTGCCCAGAGGCTACCACATGAGGACAAATTATGCATGCTAAAGATCGCTTGGAAGTGGGAGATACTTTCAATATAATCTACCAGATCCCCTGCATGGATTGCCCCTGTGACTATGTAGGACAAATGGGAAGGAAGATTTCAAGAACACAAGCCGGCAGTCAGATGAAGAGACCCAAACTCATTAGTAGCCTCACATTGCAAGAACACACATTTAATTTCACAGCAACTAAGATAATTGGCCACCCCATTACAAAAATAGCCAGGGAAATGATTAAAGCCTGGGAAATGGGCCCCTTGTCAGTTAACAGGAGTACTGATTTTCCACCAGCTTAGGACTTATTACTTAGTACTGAATTGCTTTGCAGAATAAGGAAACAACAGCCAATCACCAGCCATCAACACACCAATCATCCAACAGGAAGGCACCGCATAAACATAACTCACAGAATAGCCCAAAGCATGTATTCCAATAGAATGAAGTTCCCTGAGGATGGACTCCAGCATGAGTCTGAAAGCTCAGAAAAGTACATCTCTAGTCCTGGTGACCGACCCAGATTCGATCTTGCATCATTGTCCTGGAACATGTATATTTTCCCCCATTTCTAAGGTGAATCTCCATACAATGTCTTGTGACACTACCCTGCCAGGGATCACAACACTTTCAGAATTGCTAATGTATAGGATTGCTCTCTCAATAGCATTTTGTACATGGCAGAGACTCATAGTGATTATATTTTATTATTTTAAAAAAGTGACCTCAAAACTTATCTAAAGAAAAGAAGGATAGTACGATAAAAAAATTGAAGTGCTGTTGTCAGGCAATGAATCATCTAAGAGTTTTGAAAAAGTTTTGAAAAAGAAATAAAATAATGAATTAAAGGAAAATAAAAAAATAGAGAAATAATCCAATATGTGTCATCATAAGTTATTTGGTCTAATTTTAGATATAGGGCTTGGTATCTTTATAAAAACTGATGTGGAACATTATATATTAATACTTTTGGGTACAGTGAAATTAAAAATGTTATACTAGACGCACTGAATACAGAGTAATGCTTTTTTATTTTGGTATCTCCTCTCTATGAAGGTTTCATATGCACAGGAATTCTGCAGGAAGCATATAATAGCTGGGCAGCACTTGTTAAAAGATATGTATAAGGGTTTTTGGACATTATCTGGACATAAAGTGGAAGTTCATGGACAGGTAAATATTTTTTCCAGACCTGAGATTATAAAAATGAAACTATAGCTCAAAATACAAGTTTGTCCTTTCCTTCCTTCCTTCCTTCCTGCCTGCCTGCCTGCCTGCCTTCATTCATTCCTTAATTCCTTCCTGAAATTTTAGGTCCATTTTAAATAGTTCAAAGAAAGGTGTCCAATGTTTTCCTTTACAATCATTATACTCAGTTTCACAATTATATTTCACTGATTTAATTCAAATATTATGTTATTTCTGGGAGCCCATTCGGGGAGGGGATAGCCCGAATGAGATATTACAGGTGGGTTTCAGATATGCTATCAGCTAAAATCCCAGGGCAGAGATGGAGATCTAGTGATCATCATCTGGAAATCTCTTGTGGTTTTCAAGAGCATTGTTGCATAGGTCACCAGATGTGAGATTCCATTCATTATATTGGATTCTAGGGATCAGTTTGGATTATTGTTGTTGTACTAGCCTCTCTGAGCAACTTGACTCCATTGCTGAGTTCAATCTGTCTTCTCTACGATTAGGGTCTAAAGGGGCTTGGGAGTTGGATGGGCCTATCCCAGAACATCCAGAGCCCAATAGTGTTGTGATTAGGGCATGAATTACTGTATGAAGGGCCCCCTGGTCAATTGATGTACAAGACATGCCTCTGCAAAGCCCACTGCTTCTATCTGCTTTGTGAGCAGGACCTGAGAGTCCAAGATGGCCCCCTAGATTGTACAGTTCAATAATAATAATAGCATACCTCCAGATTTGGGAGAAGGAAGGAGCAAACAGACAAAGCCTGTCCCTTCCCATTCCAACCCATACCGACTCTAAGCACTAGGTTAGCAGGACGTAGCCTAACTAGCCAGGGACTGAAATGTACAACTGGGTATAAATATTGATGATTCTGACCACAATCCCAGCCATCTCATGTAAGTGTTAAACAAAAAGGTAGAAAGAACTCAACTCTGCAGCAACCCCAAGCCCTGGGTACAATCTCTTCCTACCTGTCATAAGTTTGCCTTGGTAAGGCCACACTTGGAGTTCCACATCCAGTTTTGGTCGCCATGATGTAAAAAAGATGCTGAGACTCTGGAAAGAGTGCAGAGAAGAGCAACAAAGATGATTAGGGGACTGGAGACTAAAACTTATAAAGAATGGCTGCTGAAACTGGGTGTGTCTAATTAGATAACAAGAAGGACTAGGGGTGACATGATAGCAGTCTTCCAATATCTCAGGGGCTGCCACAAAGAAGAGGGAGTCAAGCTATTCTCCAAAGCATCTGATGGCAAGACAAGACACAAAACTAATCAAAGAGAGAAGCAACCTAGAACTAAGGAGAAATTTCCTGACAGTTAGAACAATTAATCAGTGGAACAACTTGCCTCCAGAAGTTGTAAATGCTCCAACACTGGAAGTTTTTAAGAAGAGATTGGATAACCATTTCTCTAAAGTGGTGTAGGGTTTCCTGCCTAAGCAGGGGTTGGACTAGAAGACCTCCAAGGCCCCTTCTAACTCTGTTATTCTATTATATAACTGATTGAAACCAGGCACAGAGAAAGGAGGAGAACCAGCATAAAATAGTGCCTCCCATCTCCAATGAAGTTAATCCAAAAGGATATCATAGTTGACAGTATGCAAAGCTGCTGAGAGCTCAAGCAGCACAAGATTGGGTGCATTATGCTTGACCCTCTTCCACCATCAGTACAAATGATGAATGTCATCTCTAACCTAAACCCTGGTCTAAAGCCCAACTGCACTCTATAATTCAAGAACTATAACTGCATTTACAAGCATTAACAATTGCAATAAAATCTCAAAACAATAACAAAACGTAATCGAAGGAAATATTTACCATTGTATTGCTCTCCAGGAGTCCCCAATGAGGTACAGTTACTCAGATTCTCCAAAAGACTTATATTATATCAGGGAGGCCAATCTGCCAGCGGCTAATGGTATTATACATGTTGTTGACCGTATAAGGAAAATGGACACCATGGATAACTCTGATAATGCTCAGGTATGATGAATATTCTTTTTCCTTATGAAAATAGTCATAGGCAGTGCATGGGGATAATTCCTTAAACAAAATAGCTTTTAAGTATAGGCTACAATTGTACTTCTAACCTAGAATCAATCTAAAAGAGATGTTTCCAACTCGCATGTGGTCTCGATAGCTGGTAATGCAGCCCCACAAGATATAATAAAAATATTTTAAAAATTAAGGAAATGTATTTATGTATATTAACTGTGTTTTATATGTGGTCCCAAGAACAATTCCTCTACACTCAACATGATCCAGGCCAGCCAAAATTTGGACACCCATGATCTAAAGCCATTCTAGTAGCACTTTTTAATAGCATTGGACTCATGAATGGTTTGACACTATAAAGTTCCATACAACCCCTACTGCATAATAGTAGGGTATAACAGGAAGCATATATCACTTAAAATATTATTTCCTCCAGTTTTCCCAAACTAATAAATGGCCCTGGGAAGATTTGGAATGTTGACACAATGTGATGGGTACACTCATAAAATGTTAGCCATTCCACAATGTTCTTTGCCATCTTCTTGAGACCGAAAGGCATCAAATATGGCATTGAAGTTATTGCTTTGTTGGGCAGCATACAATTTCCTAGATAACTTTATAAATGAAAGACACTCCATAAAAACCTTGCTGGACACCATGGAAGATATCTGGAAACTATATTTCCTATATTTACTTATCCATCACTCAAAATGTCAAGATTTTTCTCAACTAACTCTCCTGGGAAGTTTTTTTAAAAATGCTAGAAAAAAATGATAGCAAATCACTTTGCATTATTGCTAAAAAGCCCTCATGGACATGTCTCCATAGTTACCAAGAACCAAGTTTGATTAAACATATCTTAACATCTCTTTTAACTCACCTTTAAAAAGCAAAACAAAACACTTGGGCATGCACAGATAGAGCAATCTTATATTACCTTTTGCTGGATCAATTCCTCTAAGGATTTCCAGAAAATTGTCATGAAGCCTAAATGTACAATATTTGCAGATGACAATCAATTGTTACTTTTTGTATCAGTATTTTTAATTACTCTATCTTTCTACAAGACATTGGCAAAACAGGAAACTGAATATATACAAAAGGCTATTAAAGCACCATGTTTATTTTACCTCCATGATTTCTGGTGGATTTTTGATTGTGGTGAACTATGATTCAGATCCTATGTGTTGGTTCCTATCTTGAAAGTCATCCAAATTTAGAATATTCAGAATGCAGGATGCAAATGCTTCACATACATAGAAATAGCAATAGCAGTTAGACTTATATACTGCTTTACAATGCTTTACAGGCCTCCCTAAGCAGTTTACAGAGTCAGCATATTGACCATTTGGGTCCTCATTTTACCCACCTTGGAAGGATGGAAGGCTGAGTCAACCTTGAGCCTGGTGAGATTTGAACTGCCAAATTGCAGGCAGCCGGCAGGCAGCAGAAGTAGCTTGCAGTACTGGACTCTAAGCACTGCACCACCATGGTTCATAGATATACATAGATAGATAGACCTGTATATTTAGTAACTTAGATTGTGCTGTCATCATAGTTGCTAAGGAGCAAGTTCTACTGAATTCAATGGGAAGGAAAGCATTGGGAATACAACTCGGAGGTTTTCTGTACATTAGTTATGGCACAGAGTAGAAAGAGGAGAGAAATGTGTCACTATTTGTTTGCATATTTCATAACTATGCTGTCTCAAACTGAAATGAGTTTCTGTATATGCCACCACTTCTCATTCTAATCCATCTGTTTTTGCAGAAAACAATTGCAGAAATTCTTGCTTCCATGGAGATTGCCAGCCGGTTTGAAACTATATTAGAAGTGAGTATCTCTCCTACAGTATATTCAGGAAGGGATAAAATAAATGCTGATACTGCAGCTTCCTTTTTTAATCAGAAAAAAAATGCAGGTTTTGCTTTTTTTTTCCCAAAAAATTTATTAATTTTTAAAAAACAAACATATACAAACAAAACACAAAACATGAAAACATAAAACATCTTTTTTGGAAAGCAGCTTGATCCCGGGTTACATCTCTTCGTACAGACATAAATTCAAGTTCATGCTCACTTTTATATACCATTCCATATCTTATTACCATTCTACATTTTCTATATAGCTTCTCCCCTCTTTTCACTCTCTTAATTCTATTTTATTTATTTCATCTCAATTTAAATCATTATACTTATATCCTTTGTCTGTCCTGTTTCAGCTGTCTATTATCTTTTCTCATTAACACAAAATTTCTCCTGTAATCACTGATTGGAGTATGACGCCTTTATATCTTTCCCCTAAATTTAACACTTAATATAATACATAACTTTCATTCGGATTCTGCTTAGTACATTCTAAAGCTACGCACTATATTTTAAGAAAAGAAAAAATTATAAATATATAATATAATTAAAACAACAATCCATACCAATTGAACTCTATCGTTAAAATTAATATTCATTTAAATCTTAAACATTTTACACATTCCTTTTCAAATAGGTATCATGCTTCTATGGGAACACTTATAAATTTTACGTAGTTACTTCCCCCCCCCCCCATTTCACTTATATTTTAAAACACTATGTAATTAAAATGTTCCCATTCCTTCTTAATTCAATTCTCTCATATTTCATTTCATTTATTTTGTTCAAAAAAAAAAAAGTTTCACTGAATTACATTGAATATTTTATCCCATTTTATAATCATACGTTGTTCCAATTTTCTAACATTATTTCTAATACAAATACAACAATACAGTCTTATGTACCTTTGCAGAATCTTTTTTTCAGTTATATTTTTACCCATTATCTCTAAATAAGTCCTGTTTCTTTACATCTTGTTTCAAACCTTTGTAGCTTCTCTTCCCTTCCTTCCTCCCTTGCTTCTTCACTCTGCCCTTTTTACCCCCTTGTCTCTCCAACTCCATTTCCCTCTTCTGTATTCCTCTTTTCTGTTGCTTTCTGACATTATATCCACTTTTCACCTTATTTTTCCCTTTTTGGTTGTTTTTTTAGGTCTTAAATTCACCATTCTCTTCCCCCACTTTCCCCTTTCTTCCCGAGTTAAAGTTACTTGTTCATTAAAGATGGCTTCTTCTTTGTCCCAATCTTCTTGTTGCGCAGTTTCTTGTAGTTTCTCATATGTACAGATCGCCATTTCTAAAAAATGAAAAACGGAGCCAAAAGAGCCCTTCCCGTTCCTCTTCTTTATATTTTTTAAATTCCATTTTCAGTTCATCTACAAGTGATGCCATTGTAAAAAAAAATTAAACAACCACCCAAGTGTTTTTGATCATTCAAATATAATTTCCAAAAGTCCCAAAGTCACCAAGCAGTCCAAATACACACAAGCTGTTTCATTTAACACTTTCTTCTTTTTTCACTTTCTCTTCCTGGGGTTACAATTCAGTTACAAAGTTCCAATTAAAATGTATCTTTTAGAAGTCTTGTTACAATTTAACTTTAGATTCTTTTAAATTCCAAGCAGTTTCCTCCAGCCAAATCTTACTCTTATTCTTTTCCTCTCCCTTCCCGCTTACAGCAAAAAAAATTTTTTTCAGTGTTCAGAAATCTTTATTGTCCCCTTGGCTTTGATTTTCCTGTTTAATTACCTGCTGATGCCAAAGTGGGTTTTTCTGATTTCTCATTCATCTGCTGTCACCGTAAGGAAGGAGAGTGAGAAATAACAAACTTTCCCTTTTCAGTTTCATTCGCTGCTTCCGGATCTTCTTTGGGAGCGATGTATCTTTTTTTAAAATTTAAATTCCAGGATACCTTGGTTGTTGCTTCTTATCCCGGTCAGCCAAAACTTTCACTTCTTAGCTTCCTCCTGCACTTTCTTTTCTGGATGAGTACTTCTTTGAGGCGGCCATTTCTGACCACCGCTCTTTACCGCCTTCGGAAAAGGGAGTTAAGCCAGCTGAGGAGGGGAGGTGCAGCTCCCCTCGAACCCTGCCAGGTCTCCCCTGTCTTCACCAACCTCTACGGGGTGGCTTAGCCCTGAAGCCGGCTGGCTCGGGGCACTCCAGCAGCGAGTGCAGGCAGAAACCACGCACGATCGCGGATTCCTGCTGCCGCCGAAGCCCTGCAAACCAGAAGCCCCCTGCTTTTTGAACATTTAATATTTTCATGACCCACTTTAGGATACAGAACCATTTTAAGAGATCAAACAGAGGATTAAGTATAATAGCTGATAAAGATCATTAAAATGTTAGTAAAACTTATGAAGAATTGATTCATTTCCATAATGTTGCTTTGGGGCAGTAAGAAATTCATCCTTTCTTCACACAAGAAACAGGATCACGATTTCTTTCCTTCAAATGTTCCTCCTATCCATTGCCTATGTGTCATCATTCCAGCAAACCTCCATTCCAATCAGTAACTCCGAGACAAGCATAATCTCAAGAGTACCTTTATTAGAATAGCACCTGGCACATCTGTGGAATCTTGAAATTAAAAGTTTCCTGGACATCCCACAATGTTCCAAATTACAATCCATCCCCTTTTTTCCCATCATCATATCACATAGACCAATCACGATCCGTCCCAGTGTAAGATCCTTTTTCCATGCTGCGCCACACTTAATAACCTTGAACTAAGAAAATAATTTTATTTTGTCTACTTAGAACTACTCAATTGAAATCCCCCCTTCCCACTTTCTTAGGCTATGTGGCAGCGTGGAATATGGTTTCCAAAGCTGACAGGCAACCCCCCTTGAGAAGTTCACCTCCTAAAAGAGATAATAAACAAAACACAACCAGGGGTTAATGCGATGCCCTTAACCCCATCTCCCCCACCAAGGGGATCCTTTGGTTTGTCAGGGAATTCGTTATGGAATTGGTTAACCAATCTATTTGCATCTACATCCCAACTTTTTACCCAAGTAGCCTCTGAGAAAGAGTAACCCTTCCATAATACCAAATATTGTAATCTCCCTTAGTGCAATCTAGAATTGAAGATTTTGTTAATTTCATAATGTGTCTCTCCCTGTATGATCAAAGTTGGGATGGGCCTTAGATTTGACTCTAGAGCTGGTTTCAGGGTGTATTTTCCCCAATAGCTGGGGAAGACTTAATTGGACTATGACTAGATTGGTTATTTTTGATATAGGAAATGGACCTAAGAATTTAGGGCCCAACTTCCTACTGGGAAGTATCAGTTTGAGATATTTAGTTGACAAAAACACTTTGTCCCCTACTTTAAATGGTGGTTGGAGGATCTACGTTTGTCTGCCTGCTTTTTATAAGCTTTTTATAAGCTTCAGTCAAAGCTTTTTTTGTATCTTCCCAACCTCTTTTTAATGAATTCATCCATTCCATTAAAGACATGGATGTTGGGGGGTGGGGTGTTCCCTAGGTAATTCTGGCATAGGGACAAATTCCATGCCGGTGTTGATTTGGAACAGAGTCAAGCCTGTGCTGCTATGTACTGCATTATTGTAAGCAACTTCTGCAAATGACAACAGTTCTGCCCAGTTTTCCTGTTGATAATTGACATAGCATCTAATGTATTGTTCCACCATGGCATTTGCTCTCTCTGTTGCCCTGTTGCATGCAGGATGGAACACTAAGGATAGGCCTTGGGATGACACAATTGACTTTAAAAACTCCCTCCAGAACCTAGCAGTAAACTGTACACCTCGGTCTGAGATTACTCTACGAGGTACTCCATAGAGCCTATAGATATGCTTCATAAACAGTTTTGCAAGCTTTTTAGCCAAATGTAGCCCTTTACAGGCTGTAGAGTGGGCTTGCTTAGAGAATAAGTTGATAACACAGTATTCTCTCCACTCTCAGGTAATTCTACAATAAAGTCCATCGCAATTTCTTCTCATGGCTTTGTTGGTTCAGCTACTTGTTGAAGGAGGCCAGGGGGTTTCCCCATTCTGTGTTTCATCATGGCACAAATTGAGCAGCTTTTCACATAGTCTTCAACATCAGGTTTCATTTTTGGCCACCAGAACTGTGTCCTGACTAAATGCAGGGTTTTTAAGAACCCAAAGTGTCCCTCCAACCGCGAGTCATGGCTACGCTTCAGTACCATTAGTTTTAGATTATTGGGCACATAAAGTTTTGTTCCTTTCCAAGCCAATCCCTCATTCATTGTCAAATCAGTTTGATGCTCTGCAAACCAGGGATCGGTCTAAAGGGCTGCTTTCAACTCAGTTGTCAGTTTGTCTTCTAGGTGTCTGGGGCTGTGGTTGGCTTGACCTCAGGTGATTACTTGGCCTGGTTGGGCTTCTGATATCATAGTCTGCACTACTTCCTCTCGGTGACTGTCAAATTGGGGTTTTCTCAACAGGGTATCTGCCAGTATGTTTTTCCCTCCTGGGATATATTTCATGTTAAAGTTGAACCGCTTGAAGTATTGAGCCCAGCAGACTTGTTTAGATGATAGCTTCTGAGGTGTCTTTAGGGCCTTGAGGTTCTTGTGATCAAGACTTCAAATGGATCCTTCACTCCTTCCAGGAAATGCCTCCAAGACAGTAAAGCCGATCATACTGCAAACGCTTCTTTTTCCCAAACTGCCCACCTATGCTCTGTGTTTATCAACTTTTGGGACACATAAATGCAAGGCATTAGCCAGTTCTGAGAGGCCTTTTGGAGAAGAATGGCCATGACAGCCACATCACTAGCATCAGCTTGGACTATGAAAGGTCTGGTTGGGTCCGGGTGCTGGAGAATGGGCTCAGCGGCAAATATGTATTTTAAAATTTCAAAATCTTTCTGACAGTCCATTGTCCAAGCAAGGGGTTGACTTGGCTTCGGTTTGTTGGGGAAGGCCAAATTTTCAATAACTTTGTTAAAGGGAGGGTGACCTCGGCAAAAGAAGGAATAAATTATCCATTGAAATTGGCACAACCCAGAAAGCTTTAAAATTGCTTACGTGTTTTGGGGGGTTTGCCAGTCTAACACCGCTCTCACTTTTCCAGGGTCCATCTCAATTCCCTGGTTGGATACTTGATAGCCTAGGTAATTCAGGAACTCTTTGTGGAATTTGCATTTCAACGGTTTTACATATAACTTGGTGGCTAAAAGTTTTTTCAGCACTTGTCTGACCAATTTGACATGTTTTTCGATGGTTTAGCTGAATATAAGAATGTCATTCAGGTAGATGAGGACCCCTTGGTACAGGTGTGGATGTAACACTTCATTGATGAGTTGCATAAATAATGCGGGGGGGGGGGAGCTGGAGTCTGAAAGGCATGACTCGGAATTGGAAACTACCCAAAGGGCAGTTGAAAGTAGTTTTCCATTCGTCTCCCTCCTTTATGCAGACTTGGTAGTAAGTTTATTTCAGATCTAGTTTGGTGAAGACCTTGCCTTTTGACAGGTGGTTTAATAAGTCCTTCATGAGGGGGAGGGGGTACATGTTTTTTATGCACATGGCGTTCATGCCCCTAAAATCAACACATAATCACAGGCCACCATCTTTCTTTTCTTTGAACAGCATTGGGGTGGCCAACCTAGATTTGGCAGGTTCAATGAAACTTCTGTTCAAATTGTTATCAATGTATTTTCTCAACTCAGTCATTTCAGCTGATATCATGCTGATATCTTTGGTTTAGGCAGTTTTGCCCCGGGTTTTAATTCTATGGCACAATCAGTGGCTCGATGGGGAGGTAAAACATTGCATTCCTCTTTGCTGAACACCTCAGCCAAGTCTCTGTATTGTTTGGGGACTTGGGAGGAACCAGAGAAGAGTTTGGAAAAAGAATCTTACACTGGGATGGATCGTGATTTGTCCATGTTTCAAGATAATATCAGCATTCCAGCAAACTTCCATTCCAATCAGTAACTCCGAGACAAGCATAATCTCAAAAGTAACTTTATTAGAATAGCACATGACACATCTGTGGAATCTCAAAACTAAAAGTTTCCTGGACTTCCCACAATGTCTCAAACTACAATCCATCCCCCTTTTTTCCCATTATCATATCGCATGGACCAATCACAATCCATCCCAGTGTAAGATCCTTTTTCCATGCTGCGCCGCACTTAATAACCTTGAACTAAGAAAATAATTTTAGTTTGTCTACTTAGAACTACTCAATTGAAATCACCCCCCTCCCACTTTCTCAGGCTATGTGGCAGCATGGAATATGGCTTCCAAAGCTGACACTATGTGCAAAACTTTACTCAAGAACATCTGAATTGATCTGTCATTGGGTCATTTTCAGCTAAAGTTCTTCACACCAAATCTTGTTCAAATCAATAATTCTTAGTGAGCTACAGAAAGCATTTGACTATTTCAATAGGACTTTAGTTTGGCTGAACTGGAACTTTATCAGGAATGCTAAGAATAAATGATTCAAAATATTTAGTTGCTTAGCATATTTCACACCCAGAATTGTTGATTTTGTTAATTAATCATTTTATACTAAAGTTATCTAATGGCCATGGTGCTTAATATTTTGCAGAATTGTGATCTTCCATCAATTTTGGATGGTCCTGGACCTTTCACTGTGTTTGTCCCAAGTAATGAAGCAGTGGATGAATTAAGAGATGGAAGGCTAATTTATCTCTTCACAGAGGTGAGACTATTTGCTAATTAATCTGAGGATTAAAGGATATGAGTTTTTCTGACCAGTCTCATAGATTGTTCATTTAGTCAATTGTTTTATCTTTCCAATATGGAAAACATTGTTAAATTAGGACAATTGTAAGAATTGATTCAGTATGCCTTCTTAAGGGCAACGTTGTATAAAATGTCTAACTTAGAGCTTGTTTAAGAAGCCATTATTGTAAATATGGGTTTTTATTTTGTCCTGTATCTGTTCTTCTGCAGAATGTTGCTGTTCGTCACAGAATTTAAATATTCTAATGGGAAGTATCTAATGGAAGTTTTGTATAGAGAGATAGATTTTAATGTTACTAAATCTTCTATATGCATGTAGCATATGTTTATTGTATACATATATGAACAACATAAATGCACATGCATTGAGATGTAGAAATTGCTATATTGGAGAATGATTATACCTATCGACCATTTTAATCCAAAGTTTTGCTAAAGCTAATTGCAATTTCCAAGGGAGACTTCTCTAGTTTGAGAGTAACACAGGAAGTAGCATCTCCCATATGATGAAGAAAAGTATGGGCATCTTTAAGAGGGGCTTCTTGTGCCAATCTTAATACATGGATAGGTTCATCATATGGAGTCCATCAAATGACTCAGCCCTAAGCTATTTAGAATTTTGGGAGTTAAACTCCACAGCTCAGGTAGTGACTGGAAATTGATACTTATTTTTGTCACTGGGGCTGAGGGTCTGAAAATGGAATGAGACTGTGTGTTTGTTATGTTATTTTGGGGCGGATCAGTCTGTTTTTTACCTTGGCTGCTGTTTTATTGTGTGGTTTTGGTTTTTCTCTTTTTTATATGTTTATATATACATTTTTAACACTGTTAGCCACCCAGTGTCAGGAACATGTGATGGACAGCCATATAAACCATATTTATTTATTTTATTTATCAAGTTCATTTACCACCCATCTCATAGTCAGGCAACTCTGACAGGCTTACATCAAAATAAAACAACATATAATAACACTTATAAATATAAAATGGATTAAAATTATGTACAGAAATTAAGTTTGGAGGGGGAAGATGATATGTTACCTTCACAATTTGAATATACTCTCCTTCAAAACTCCTGGGTATTAACCTGATAGTCAGGTAGATTTTAGAGTTAGGATTAGATCAATTTCCTTCAGTCTAATACAAAGCTCTTTGAAGATGGGTAGACACTATGCTGGCTGGGTAATTCTTGGAGTTGAAGTTCACTCCTATTCGAGGTACTGAGACTAAGAAATACTGATGTAATGAATGGAGGAAACCCAGGGATCTCTCTAATTTAATTGGCATAACAATTTTGATATCTTTCAGGGTAATCTTGCTTTCAGCAGTCTTTGAGGTCTCTGTCTCTGCTGCTTTTTCTACAACAAAATGAACTATCTGGCTGATATCAGCAGAAGAATAAATTGCAAAGATAATCTTGTTATCAGCTGTCTATGACAACAAAACATTTGGAATTTGGCCACAGTTTTTACAGCAAGCGCATTTTATTAAAAGAGATAGGCTCTTAATTAGGTAAATTGAAAATCAGCCTGTATTCATTCTTCAGCGGAATAGCAAAGTATAATTTTAAATAAAATAAACATGCTTTTCCCCTGACTTTTTACAACAGACACCTGCTAATGCAAGATTTGATTTAGAACACAGCAATTTAATGGTCTGGGGTTGTGTTTAAATTGGAATGGGAAAGTCAGAATCTAATTGTAGAGTAGAGAAAGAATGATTGATAGTAAGTACAGAGGGAAGAATTCACCTTCTGCAGCTTTTAATTTTCATTTTATCACTGTGATCCTTTTGCCCAAGCCAATACAAAAATCCCTTCTTGTTAAATTCAAACTTTTTAGAGTGAAAATTAATTTGTAATATTCATACAAATCATGCTTCAGGAAGAAACTCTGATTTTGAAATATAATTTACATGGACAAGAGGTTGTTATTCACAATCTCTTGTGTAATCATCAGCCATTAAATCTAAGGACAATCTGTAATTGTTTTTTCCCCCCTGTACTAGGGTATAAATAAGCTTCAGGAACTTGTGAAACATCATATCTATTCCAGAGCAGCGGTAAGGTTGTTTTTGCTTTCCAAGTTCATTTCATCACTTTCATATATAATTTGCTCTTTGCCAAGGCTCTTGAACTGGTGAAGAGGAAATGCAGATAGACATTTCCTAAAGGCCTATGTATTGCTTGAGACACATTCCCTTTCTTTAGGGAACTAGCGCAATAAAAATAGAGCAGAAGGAACAAACATGCCATTTACGCCATGCTAACACAAGTCTTTTCAAAAGAGGTAGTAATTTGTAATTGTTAAACTAAATCTATTTCTTTAAAACTAATTAAATCAAACAGGGGCAGTTTTCATTTTGCCCAGTAAGAAACCTCTGTTTGTGACTCCATTATTTAGTTTTAAATATGCATCTTAATCTTCTGCATGGCCTCTTTATGCAGATGAGGTTGGAAACATGTAGGAGAGGCCTTCATCCTGCAGAGGATAGACAATGTGGCTACAATGATGATGATGATGATCTTAATCTTAAAACATTCTCCCAGGCAGAAACTTCTCATGTCCATTTGTAAACTAGATTAGTTTACATTAGCTGTTCTCAGACCATTTAATGTGTCTTATATAGGCAATACTGGATTGTCTCCTGAAATTGTCTCCTGTATCTTGTAATTTTCAGTTCAGAATTATAATTGGACCATCTCCATATTTATTCTTAAGTAATTGCATTGTTGCCAATGAGACGTACTTTCAGTCAATGTCTAAGAGACGACACATGACCATGGGTGGAGTCTTGTTTGGATCAAGACCATGGAAAGGGTTGTGACTCCATCAGAAAAACTTCATCCAGATGAACCTCCAGTGAGAAAGCAGCCAGCAACCCAAGCATTTCCCTGACTCTAATGAAAGTGGCTCATGAACTGAACATATTGATCCAAGGCCTGAACACCTGAGAATGTTAATTGTATGTGAGATGGACAGCTATATAAATCAAATAAATATCTGAATAAATCTTTTCCAGGTCTATGTAGAAAGACTAATAATGGTGCCATATATTTTGACCATGGCAAATCAGCTGCTGGCAGTTGAGATCAGTAACGATGTAAGTACTATTTCATTGAAATTCCTAGAATATTAGTATCCTGTCTGACGGGGGACTGTAGAAGTTGCCCATGATTCTGACTACATTGCACGGACAGTAGCTAGCAGGTTTATGTTCAGATTCTTTTTATGTATAGCTCTCTCCGCTATTGAGGAAATATTTTTCACTTTTCTACTGCAAAAGCAGTGATCCCAACACTTTGACAGGTTCTACCTTGCACAGATGTATTTCAAAGGCTTCTGGCAATGCAGTGAGCAAATGCTTTTTATTTTCTTACTCCAGGGAAGGATCCTGTTGGGTAATTCCAAGGTTCCGATAAACAAACGGGATATATTGGCCTCAAATGGTATTATTCATACTTTGGATGGTATCTTGATTCCTTCATCAATACTCCCGATTCTGCCGAAGAAGTGTATTGAAGAAAATTATAAAGTTGTGAAGGTAAACCAAGGATGTTCAATCTGTTCTTTCTCTTGTATAAGTTTTCCCCATGCATTAGATGGAAAGATCAGGGGTGATGAGAAAAGGCTACATTCTCTCAAGACAAACCCAGTTTGTTTGTTGGGTGTGAGATGGTGACTTGTGGACCCACCAGTCCAATTCCAATAGCCATTTTCCCCATGTACGTTTCCTGCAAATTCAACTCTTTTCCCATGCATTTTCTCCCTTTACCCCAAGTCTAAAAGATAATGAATGTTTGTCTCTATACACAATATTCCTAGACTATTTTTAACCTCAAAAGCAATTTGGCTCTTCAGAGGCTACTATATTGCATTTCCTGTCAGAACTAGCCTTTCCTGTTGACTCAGCCTCTGCAAGTTAGCCTGATGTGGATTCAGCACCTTTCTGAAAACATCTGCTTCCTGTTGCCAATACAGAGAAGCAATCAGGCTTCTAAATCTTGATCTTACATAGGGCCTGTTGCAGTTGCTCCCGTGGATACTACAGGACAGATGTATTCATTTAAAATAAATTATTGGACCAATTCTCACCTATGTTACCTACAAGCTATAAAAGGAGAGTATAATCTTTAAGATGCTTAGTGCGATTTTAAGCAGCGGAAAGAAATATGGCAAAATTGTATTAGAATACTTGTAAGTGTACTAGAAAATAAACGGCTTCTGTTTTTGCTATAATGTCGTGCTGAATATTTCCTCTGCATTTGTCAGATATCTGTCCTGTTTGAAAAGTCCAATTTCCCTTTTCCACAAAGGAAAACATTTAGTGAAATTCAGACGGATGAAGCGGGATGGAGCCAAAGTTCTCCACTGGTTTTAGGGCTGTTTTGAACAGGATTTCTTTCTTTCTTTAACAGTACAGAGAGAGAGAAAGAAAATAATAAAATAACAAAAAGTGAGAGTGAGAAAGAGAAAAAGCAATGAAATTGAAACCAAAATATCATTTCTCCAGTGATATGGAGAGTCCCCAGGCTTCCCAAGTTTCAAATAAAATCACAGAGGAAGACCTCAAAAGAAGACCTCCCCCTCCCCTAAATCTGGAAGCAGTGATAACTGCAGGGCAATGGAGAGGAGGGTACTAAAAAACACCACAGTGGCAGCCTCTTCTGCCCTTTTGAACTCAACATCTCAAAAGAAATTTTTGGGGAATGAGGTATTAGAAGAAAAACATTTGTACAGGGAGAAATCTTTCAGGAACCCAGAGGATAAATTTTTGCACAGTACCACTTACTGCTAGGCCACTCATTAAGCATTGTAGGATTTAACAGATTAACAGAGTTGGAAGGGACCTTGTAGATCATCTAGTCCAATCCCCTCCAAGCAGGAGACCCTATGCCATTTCTGACAGATGGCATTCCAGTCTCTTCTTGAAAGCTTCAAGTGATGAAGCTCCCACAACTTCTGAAGGCAAGCTGTTCCATTGGTTGATTGCTCTCGCTGTCAGAAAATTTCTTTTAATTTCTAGCTTGAATTTTTCCTTGATTAGTTTCCATCCATTGTTCCTTGTCTGGCCTTCAAGTGCTTTGGAAAATAGTTTGACCCCCCTCCTCTCTGTGGCAGCCCTCAAATATTGGAACATTGTTATCATGTTTCCTTTGGTCCTTCTCTTCATTAGACTAGCTATGCCCAGTTCCTGCAACCATTCTTCATATGTTTTAGCCTCCAGTCCCATAATCATCTTTGTTGCTTTTCTCTGTACTCTTTGCAGAGTCTCAACATCTTTTTATAGTGTGGTGACCAAAACTGGATGCAATATTCTAGGTGTGGTCTTACTAAGGCTTTATAGAGTGTTATTAGTACCTCACTTTATCTTGATTGTATTCTTCCCAGAGAGGAAGTAGAAGGAGGTAAGATGGGGATAAACAGAGAGAATGTATGTTATCCTCAAAGAATTCAGGAGCAATCTTTAGCTCAGAGCAAGAAAACATTTGGCAGATATAATTTTCCTCATAATTGTAGCCTGAGGAAAGAGGGTCAAACAGTTTTTCCCTAAATTGTCGAGGTGACTGGTCCACAATCAGGCTGATCTGAGGAAGCAACATGTCCCTCTGTAGACATAATAAAATGTTCAAGTTTTCTTATTGCAAGCTCCTTAGGAGCTAGAATGAAGTGCTAAGTGTTCCTGAGTTGCTGGTCTACTGAGTTGCTCTCTTAAATCTTCTAAGGCTACAATGCATTCAATTTATCCAGCAAAGCAGGTAATGACTTGATATTCATATTTCTCATCCCCCAGCAACCAGTGGTTTTTAAAATTAAATTAAATTAAATTAATTAAATTTAAATTAAAAAGTCAGTTAAAACAGCTGAAAAATACCAGAAATAAAATTCCTTCCAATGCTAGAGAATCTATGTAGCTGAGGTTAACCTGTTGAGTTCTTGGTGTGTTCTGTAGGTTGTTTTCCTGCAGATGTTTTATTATCAGACTAACACTGATGGTGTAATGTAGTCTTGTAATAAAGCATGTACAGGTCAGAAAACACAGGAACTCAATAAAATTCCTGAGTGCACCATATTTTAACTTCTTCTTAGATGCTTGTTTTCTGTGTGAACATGGAAGATTTTTAATGGATTTATCACTGAGCAGAACAATGAAGTTGTCCATGCAATAACATATCAATCTACATTATCTTTATGTTCAGTGTGGGAGGAGAATAGATGATCATGCGATTCTGTTTTAAATAAATTTTGCCCGTGCATAATTTGCAGTCAGAGTATCTTTCTTCAATCTGGCAGCTTTGAGGGCAGCTATAAGTTTAGCAATGCAACATTTTTAAAAAGTCTGTTAATCAATTAATTATTTCTTATCTTTGGCTTTTATTACAGGGTTCTTGTGTGGATTGTGAGCTCTTTAATACCAGTGCTTGTCCTCCTGGGAGCCAAATTATGGTAATTGGCCCTGATTTTTCTGTATGGAGATTATACTGTGCAAGGGCAATTGTATTTTGTGACCCATTCATTGGAAACATTAATGCTAATAATAATGCTAATAAAAAGCATGAATATTCAATGCTATTGGATAGCATGAATATGTAATGCTAATGAATAGCATGAATATTAGCTATCATGACTTCTATATGCAACCTTTCAAACATTGCAGATTCTGATACCTTTGGTAAAGTCAGCCTTTTACTTTTCAAATGTAATTCTAGACAGCAGTCATACGCTCGTCAGATACCCAGCATTATATAAACAAGCCAGGAAGGAAATAAAAAGTTGATCAAAATCAGTACAGGGAAGAATCAGCACTCAACCTGCATTGGCATCTTTGAGGTCAAATTAATACAGGCTTGAAAAGGTCCGCTTTGGCTGGCGTCAACTGGAAGGACTCCAATTATTTGAACTGCCTTTAGTTGCTTCATGTTTAGCTGTTACATTTCAATCCTCTTGCAAATGCTGTTCTAGCTTTTCTGTCAGTTTGGGAACAGTGGGTTGATTACAGCAATTGAGACAATAGTGATTTCCAAGGACTTTAAAATGTACAGCCATGTTATAGTGCAGGTTGTACTTCAATAGTGTCAAAGATGATTTACATTAGAACAACCACACAAATTTGTAGGCTTGTGGAAACTGCAAATGCATATTTCTTAAAGTCATTGTATGTGCAAAATACTGTTTTATGGAACACTGTTAACAGTGACTTGATTGCTGCTTTCATTCTAGATATTCCAGTTCTTTGGAACAAGCCCCAGTTATTCCTTGAAATGTTCCTTACTTAAAAAGAAAAAAAGAGAAAGAGTTTTCATGCAAGGTTTTCTGAAATTGTGTGTTTAAAAAGCAGAATACAAAATTATGTTGAAGCCTCTGTTGTTCTATAATATTGTTCTGCTGAAATAAGTGAACTTACAATGGAATTCTCTAAAATTGCCTTCTTCCCCATCTTATCCAGACTAAATGACTGCCTTGTGATGTGTTGGCTCCTAATCAAAATAGGAGGGGGGAAAAACCTTGCCTGCAACACGATTTCTGTTGTGTCTTCCTTGTTCTTTCTCTTTGTGAGGTGAACAAGAGTGCTATCTTGAAAAGCATAATTGCTCTTGTCTGTCAGAGAGGAAACTGCTTTTCCTGTTTGTAGCTCTTCTTATAACTTTGCCTCTCTTTGAACATTTATTGGCTGGCAAAAGGACATGGAACATATGTAAAAAATATGGAACATATATAAAACATGCTTTTTTAATTGTAATTTGTTTTGCTTCCAAAGGAAGACAAGGCTATTTCAAACGAGTGTGTTTATACCCATGATCCACTTGGTTTGAATGTTCTGAAGAAGGGCTGCCGGAGATACTGCACTCTCAAGGAAGTGGTAAGTGTAAGGTATCCAGCAGGGAACATTTATTATGAAATGCCATGTTTCCTTCATTCCAAAATTTATTCAACAGATTCCCTTTCTAAACTTGAATGCTTTCTTATTTACCATTTGTAACCGGTTTGCAATATAATTAAAAATTAACTATTTTTAAATTCTTATACAAACATTGTCAGAGGTTAGTTCAAAGATTTTAGAGAGTACTAGAGGGTGATTCTGGGTCAACAGTCAACACTTACTTGTTCTCCTCCCTGCCCGGGTAAAATATCGCTTTGTTACATAATCAATCTTGATAAAGGATCTGGCTTCTTTATTAAGGAAAAATAAAGAAAGGCAAAAACCAATATTTGTCTTCCCTTGAACTGAAAGTCTGTGGAGATTCTCAGTCATCCTGGTCATGGTTGTCTCATAGGTGCTTTTTCAAAAGGCAACTGACTTTCTTTGTTTTTCCTTGAAGGAGTATCACTACTCATCCAAAAATCTTCACCCATTTTGGCAGGATGGGGGTGGTGGTAGAAGGATTAGTCCTGACAGGATGGTGGGGATGGAAAGATCATATTTCTTATTCATGGGATAAGACATCATCTATCTCCTGTCTACAACAGAGTCCTTTCAGCAGTCCCCAAGAAGGTTCCACACTTCGTTTCAGGTGACCCTGAGGGAACAGATAAGCCAAGTGGCTTCAATGACTCTCAGAGAGAGCGCTAATGACAAGATGACTGCAAAGGAATTTAACCCTTCCATTCCCCCCACCCATCCCATCAGAACTAATCCTTCTATCCGCAAAACCATGCTGCCACAACTGATGAAGCTACTTGGATGAGGAGTGAAACATCTTCAAGGAAAAACAGAGAGAGTCCAGTTGTCTCTTGAAAAGGCACCTTTGGCACTTCCCTTAAGTTGTTCTCTCAGGTGAAGCGGTGAGGGGACGGTGTAGCTATACCTTGATAACAGAAGAAGAATGGCACATTGAACACTTTTTTTTTCCTGTTGTGTATTTATTTAAAAGAAACCTGGATGCTGCAAAGGGTTTTTCGGTCTTTCCTGTACCCCATGTCCTGGTGGATATAGCAATCCATGCTACAACAGAGGAAGTGTAAGTGCATGAGAGATGGGAGGTGGGAAAATAATAAATGATAGCATAGATATAAACAATCAAGAGATGAATGGATGAGTCAGTTAACAGCTTATCTCGTAGAACTTTACCAGCTGACAAAAAATCTGAAAGAAGCATTTTAAAGCATTCCAGGAGACTCCATCTTGATGAACTCACTGTAAACAGGGCTAAGAAATTCTTATTATATTCTTATTGGTTTCTTATTCCAGGAGACTGTATTTATCACAGACAAGCCTTAAAGATGCTTTTCTAAAATCTGTGTAGCTTCTTGACTCAGCCTTCCATTCTTCTGAAGTTGGTAAAATGAGAACCCAGATTGTTGGGGGCAATAGGCAGATTCTGCTTAGAGAGGGCTGTAAAGCTCTGTGAAGCAGTATATAAGTGCTATTGCTATTCTGCTTCCTTGATCTTACCCAGCAGCCCAGAACTCAATAAAGTGGCACAGAATTCTTAGCCATGTATTAAGCAACAATGTTAGGGAAATGGTTGCAAGAAACTTGCAGATTCATGCTGTTTTGCTTTGCAAAGATCAGGGAAGAAAATAACTGACTGAGAACAAACATCACTACTGCAACCCCCCCAAAAAAAAAAATTTAAATGCATATATACAATATATGGCTACATTAAGGGTACGTAGACATTTATAAGTGAGACTTCACTAGGCCAGGAGGATGGTCTTGTAGCAAGCTGAGAGAAAGAGCAAACTATCTCCTGTAACATCACATTGGAATTTGTTTTTTCCCCAGTGTAATGATGGCATACATGGAAATGGCCAATGCAACTGCTACGACGGCTTCAAAGGAATTGCCTGCCACATCTGCTCAAACCCAAACAAGCACGGGGAGAACTGCACTGAAGGTCTGAGACACAAATCAGGCAGGAAGGCACTGAGACAAGTGGTGATATCTTGTTGCCTAAAGCAGAGCTAGAAATAGCATCCTCCTTTCTACCTCCAGGGGCATAATACCCAAGCCTGGTGAATTTATCCTGAGAGAAAAGGAAAAGATGCCACAAGCTTCCCTTGCCTGGAAGTAAAAATAATATGAAATAATAATGTACAATTAAGTAACTGTGTGAAACCTATGGGGTCTCCTGATTGAGCAGGGAGGGTTGGACTAGAAGACCTCCAAGCTCCCTTCCAGTTCTATTCTGATTCATCAGTTGAACTTGCCGCCACCATCCCCGCCCCTAATGACTAGAAATGACCTATTTTTATACAATATCTTAGTCTACACTAATCCTCCATCTTTTCCGGTCAGCACAACAAAGCGGGAAGGGAACCCCAAGCCATCATACGGATTAAATGTCGTTAAAGGTATTGAAGAAATCCCGCAATTATAATTTAAATGATTAACTTTTCTCTTTCTTCTCTATTCACAATGGAAGATTGCAGCTGCATCCATGGAATTTGTGACAACAGACCAGGAAGCAAGGGTGTGTGCCAGACAGGGACGTGTAAGGATGGCTACACCGGGGAATTCTGTGACGTACACTCTCATAGTTGTGAATCTACTGGTGCCATTCTGAATTGCCATGTCCATGCAACCTGTACTGTGAACGACACTGTGAAGTAAGTCCTCACAGGGGGAATCTGGGATCAGATTCCTTACTCAGTTTGATGGGGAAAGGCATAAATCACTCCCGAAATAGCAATACCAATAGCACTTAGACTTATATACTGCTTTACAGTGCTTTACAGCCCTCTCTCAGCAGTTTACAGAGTCAACATATTGCTCCCAACAATCAGGGTCCTCATTTACCCACCTTGGAAGGACGGAAGGCTGAGTCAACCTTGAGTTGGTGAGGATCGAACTGCCAAATTGCAGGCAGCCGGCAGTCAACAGAAATAGTCTGCAGTACTGCATTCTACTCACTGCGCCACCACAGCTCATATCCTCCCTTTTGACTAAAAGAAGTGTATGGAAACATAAAGGCATGAAAATGTAACATTGTCCATCCTTTCTATCCTTTGAAAAGCAACCTCAGTAAAAATGGGGAATACAACAGAACAGGGTATTAATGCTATTTGGCTGTTGCTAAGCATCCTACTTTGGAGCATGATACTATGAATTCAATAGGATTTTCCTCTACAGTAGAAATGCTTAAGATTGCCCACCTTTATTAAATTTCTCCCTTGACATAAAAACAGTTTTGTGAATGGCTTTTAGATGAGAGAAAGAGAAGACACTGTTGCTTGGATCAAAGAGAACACCTATTGCTTTGATATCCCTATCTTAGTATCCTTTATTGCTTTTAATTTAGAATATCATATGAACCCATCTAGTTGTGTTTTAATAAACATAGTTCAGTGCAGTGGTCACCAACCAGTGGGCATGATCACCTTTTGCAATCTTCTGACAAGCCAAGTCAATGTGGAAGTCAGATTCACTTAACAACTGTATTACTAACTTAACAATGGTAGTGATTCACTTAGCAACTATGGCAAGAAAGTCATAAAATGGGGCAAAACTCATTTAACAGCTGTCTCACATAGCAACAGAAATTTTGGGTTCAATTGTGGTCATACGTCGAGGACTATCTGAAGTCTGGATGATTCCAGACTGTTAGGGATAACATTGTTTACCCTAACTGTTTTGGGTAAAGATAATAAAATGATGAATCATGGTTTGTCAGATAAAGTGTATGTGACTTTAAGCTAAAGGAATGTAATTAAGGGTGCAGCTGTAAAAGTACTATATAAGCAGCAAGGTACTCTCTGGCTCTTACTGGCTGGCTTATTGAAGACTGCGTTCTTGCTGGATCGGGGAGGAGAAGAAGTGTTGGATTACTTTGAAGATATTTCTCAACGGAGAGAAGATAAGTTTTGGACAGATTTATTATATGTGTACTGACACTGGCTATTCGACACGGACTTTGCAATTAGAGTATCCTCGACAAGACTTGACTGAATTTGGTATTTGACTAATGGACTGTTTATAATGACTATGCTATAATTCTTAAATGGAATAAATTATAATTTTGATAGCACAAGCGTATCTGTATTTTTACTGCGTGTTAACGAGAAGGCTTATCTCACACATTTACCTGTCTTCCTAT